GACATGTCCTCCACACACTCCCATCCAGCAGACAGGAAATTGCTGGCTTGAAATGATCAGGGTCAAGCTGCTTCAATTAATGAAAATGGAAATGGCAACCCAGCTTGGCACAGGCTACCCTGGAGGACCATTCTGGGCTCTCACCACTCCTGCAAGCAGCGACTGACATCAGGCTGAGATCCTTGAGAGGCATGTAGGGGCAGAAGAATGGGCAAGAAAATATGTGGGAAAATTCTATTACAGTTTCATTTTTTGTTTTGTTTTGTTTTTGACAGAATGAGTATCAAAATGGGAGGGAGAGAAAGTTTCCCCAAATACATTATAATTCAACCTTGACTGGGCCAGGCTGGCATTAAAGCCTCTGAAGAAGAAAGCAATTCAGCTTCCCCCAGAGCAATTCATTTCTGTATCACCTGATGGTCATAGCTGGAAAGTTTATCCATGTGTCTAACCTCAATGTCTCATGCTCCAAATGAAATTACTTCCTTCTTTGAGGCCTTAGGAAAAAATAAACAGCTGGCCTACATCTTCCTAAACAAGAATACTTGATTAGTTGGGACTTAATCTGGGCTGGGCCACAATCTCTGTTGTCACTCTCCATTCCACCCATCTCTGCCCAGCTATGCCCAGGTTGGGTTTCTGGTCATTTTTGCTCCAGTGCTTGGACACCCCCTAACACAACCTGCTGCAGTTTTCTATCCCAGAGGTTCACAGAACAAGAGATCAAAGAAGCCCCACTCCTTACTGAGCCATTGAGCCATACCCAACCCTTGGTTCCTGCCAATTCCCGCCCTCCCCACACCACACCCTCTGCCCCTCCCCTTCATCCTGTTTCCTATCCCTTTGCTATTGGAGCTGAGAAATTCGTGGAGATCTGGCACGGTGGTCCCCTCTTCCAAACAGCAACTCCAAGGAAGTAATAAGATTTGAGCAAGTGCCGAGAGAACTCTCTAGTTGCCGCCCTCTCTCACAGGCCTGAACACCACCTGCCCGGCACTCTGAGGGCTAATCACTTCCTCAGTCAGTGTGCCCAGAATGCTGTGTTTCGACTTGTTCAGAACACATTTACCATGTGATTTATACTATATGCCTACATCTCCCAGCACCAGACAGTGAGCAACACGAGGGCAAAGAACCATCTAATTCACCTGTCACTCTCTACGGTGCCTAGTGTAGGGAATAACACACAGCAGATATCAGTACGAATTTGAATTGACAAAGTGAAGTGAAGGTCCACACAATGATCGAACTGTGTACTCAATCTTCCTTTAAGCTGTCATGTTTCAGTAAATGAAAAAAAAAAAAGAGTAAGAAGAGTCTCTTTTGTCCCCAGGACACTCTAGCCTTCTGAGTCTCAAAAGCACCCCACCCCAAGCACAGCTTGGTCTCTATCTTGACTGTGTGTGTATGTGCCCATGTACATGCACACATACTGGGGTGGAACTTCTGAGACCCCACCACTCCACTGAACCAGAATTTGAATTCCCATCACTGAGCAAAAGCTACCAACTCTGGGGACACTCGTGTTAGTGGGTAGGCACCTTGGGGCTGACCTCCAAAACCAGATTTAATGCATGACTTGCACACTTGTCCTTAACACCTACTTTGTGCCAGATGTGGGGTTTCATAACTTGGTAAAGAAATACAAGAGACTGTTCCCTGTACTTCAGACCTTCTGGGACACTTACTTTTTTAAACCTGCATAGATAATTCCTGATTCACAGTCCGGGTTGTAAGCCACTGATCCCTACATCAGTGCTGTCCAATAGAACTTTCTGCAATGATGGAATGTTCTGTATCTGTACCATCCAATTGGTGGCCACTAGCCACATGTGGTTACTAAGCACTTGAAATATGGTTAGTGATTGAGGAATTGAATTTTTATTTTACATGATTGTAATTAAGCAGCCACACGTGGCTATTGGCTGCTGTATCAGACTACATTCTAGATGACCCCAAATTACTTAAATTTAGCTTTAAAACACATCTCACAATATTGTTTGGTAGCAGCTAAAGTCTCCACTCCTTTTGGCTTAGGAGTAAACCTGAGCTTCCACACTGTAAATTCACTGTCATTTGTGCTGAAGAAACTGTTCTAGAATGAATTGGGGGTGGGTGCCCAGGTTTGTGAATTAAGTCCTATCAGCTAGCTAAGCCACCACCTCACTCTATACTGCTCAGACAAGAGAAAAGTTACTCCTTAGAACCCTCTTCTGTTAAGAAGCTGACATTCATGGGGAACAGATAAAGCAGTGACATAAATTTAGGTGCTTGTTATGGACTGAATTGTGCCCCCTTCCACCAAAATTCATATGAGATAATCCCCAACATGACTGCATTTAGAGATGGTAAGGCCTTTAAAGAGGTAATTAAGGGTAAATGAAGTCATAAGGGGGGAGGGCCTTATCCAGTATGTCTGATGTACTTTTGTAAAAGAAGAGATGCCAGGGAGATGCACACAGACAACAGGCCACAGGAGGACACAAAAAGAAGATAGCCCTCTGCAAGCCAAGGAGAGAGGCCTCAGCGGAAACCAAACCTTCTGACACCCACATCTTGGATTTCTAGTATCCAGAACTGTGAGAAAATAAACTTCTGTTGTTTAAGCCACCCAGTCTGTGGTATTTTTGTTATGGCAGCCCTAGCTGGGAATAGGTAGGCCCAAGACCCTCATCAGCCTCTCCCTGACAAGATGCACCCCAGTAACTGAAGGCAAAAGCCCAGTAGGAGTCAGATCCAGCAGTGACACCTAAATGCTCAAGCCAACTGTGGATAAAATGAGAGTTCCTGTGTCCAGGATTCTCACCTGACCATGGTTGACTAGCTCACTGCACACCTGTGGGGAATACATGGCTGTTGACTCTATAAAAAGAGCTCTGCCCAGTGCTCTGGGTGTGACATGGTAGCAGGGCTGGAAGGCTGCAGGAGAGCAGAGGCTGGAGTGGTGGCAGCGCCGAGGACAGAGGCCCAGAGAATGGCTGTGCGGGACGGCTGTGCGGGACAGCTGTGCAGACAGACGGGCCGAAAGGATGGCTGTGTGGGACGACTGTGCAGAGAGGCCCAGAGGACAGCTGTGTGGACAGAGGGGCCCAGAGGCAGAGACCGGCTTGCTGCATACATACTCACTCTGAGTGAAGGGGATTTTAGTGACTGACCTGCCACCTGGAAATAAAATTGGGTATAACCTTTTCACCCCAAGAAAGTTTTGCTGTCATTTTCTTTGGTCACATTGAATCCACAGAGAACTTGCCTGGGCAAGACACCATCATTCTGGTCACTAGAATGATCAGGTGCTTCTGCACACTGCCCAACCCTACCCCACCACCTCCTAAATCTACCCTCAGTTCTAGGCCTTCACCCAGATTCGACTATTCCCCTAGGGTATCTTCCCTATACACTAATCCCCTCCCTTCCTATTCCTGACCCCATTGCACCTACACTGCCTCCTATATGACTTGTCCCTTTATCCCCCATCTGTTGGGTGTTCTAAGTGTGTGTTTGTGCACCGCACTTCTCCCACTGGACTGCAAATTCTCAAGCATTAGTTTAACAATTAAGACCTTTCACAAGCTGGATCCAACTTACCTCTCCAGCTTTTCCTCCCAACTAGGCCAAGTCAACACTGACCTACTTGCCACCCCTTGAACATAAGGATGCTCTTTTCTAAGCGCCCCTGAAATGTCCCCATCTCTAAGGTCACCTGAAATGCCACCTCCTCCAGAGAGCACTCCATGACTACCTCAGCTAAACATAAAAGGAAACAATGGCTTTTATTTCTGAGCAGTTATCCCAGTGTCTAATCCAGTTCTCTGCAACATGGGGCAATAACTACTTAGTACTGTTGCACTGACAGAAGAAAAAGGAAAAGGAGTCTAAGGCATGGGGAAGTACAAAACTGTCATGCAGTGCTGATGCTAACTACCTGGAATTAGCACATACTACACGATCTTAAGAGCACAATCCCCAACAAGACTACCCTCACTTCGGGTGCCAGCTGCAAGCTTGGGGGTCCCCAGACCACCTGTACTTCCAACTGACTGGCTACAAAAACATGGGAACCCATGACTCCCTCACGTTCAATAATTTGCCAGGATGACACAAAACTCAGCAAAGCGTTCTACTTAAATTACAAATTTGTTATAAAGACATACACCAGGACCAGCCAAGCAAAGAGACATAAGGCATGATCTGGGAGAGTCCCACACACAACTCCTTTCCCCATGGAATTAACACACATCCATGTATTCACTAATCAGGAAGCTCAGCAAAGCCTCAGTATCCCGAGTTTTTATTAGGATTTCATTATGTAAGCATAATTGACTGAAATCATTGACCTCAAGGTTGAATTCAATCTCAGCCACCCTCCCCTCCCTGGAGGTCAAACTGCTATCACCTGGCTCAAAGCCCCAACCACAAGTCAAATTTCAGCATAAACTCAGGTGTGATCTGAGGGGACCACCATGAATAACAAAAGAAACTCCTATCGGAAATTCCAAGGATTTAGAAACTCTCTCCCAAGAACCAAGGATAAAGGCCAAATTCTTTATTATACAATGGGGGGAAGGGGACACTTACACTAAAAATTTTATCAGTTTTGAAAGCTAGAGATCACTTGTCCCAGATGATAGTTTCCAACCACGTGTTTCTCATTAAGGTGGTCTCAAGACTTGCTCTGTTCCCAAGACTTGCTCTGCTCCCAACTTGATTCACTTTCCCAGCCCTTACTAAAGGGGTATGCCTGGCAGTCATTCAGCAGACGGACCAGGCTCCCATCCACCTACCACCTGTTCCCCACTGTGCCCTGAGTAGCAAACAAACCACTGGACAGGCCCCCAAGAGAGACCCTACAGCTTAGATAAGGCAGTTAAGAGTTATGCTTGTATCATCTATCCAACTATGCAAGAGAACCCTCTGCAAACAGTGAAGAGGTAAGAGGGGAAAATCTAAACTACCACCTTCTACCCCTGACACTGAAAGAAAAAAATAAGCCAACACAGAAGTGTTTAGGAGTTTTTAATGCTTAGACTGAAAAATCACAGGCTTGGTTTTTCATAAAGTCATAGGGCCAACTCTGCCAGGGCAAGAATCTGCCCCTCACCCAGGCCACAGGGGGAGGCCCAGACCTCCCCACCCCCAGCAAAGCCTTTGGAGTGGAGGAGCTTCCTCTGTAGTGCAGGGACTCCCCAACCCAGAGGCAAGAAAGCAAGAAGAGGTGTAATGAGCACCTATGTGCCAGGCACTAAGTAAAGCACTTTCTAGTGTTATCTCAGTGAATCTCCACACCAACCCCTTGAGGTAGGGGTCCCTGTATTATAGATAAGGATCCTGAGGCTTGAAGCAGTTAATCAAGTTGTCCAAAGTCACAAAGTTCACAAGTCTCAAAGCTGGGATGAAAATCCAGGTCTTCTGGCCTTTCCTAATCTCACACTGAATTCTCTCTCTCTGAGCCAGCCTCAGTCCCCCATTAAGTTTACTCTTACCATCCACATCCCATGCTTTGTCCTGGTCCCTGTTAGGAAAGGAGTCAGCTTGACAGAAGCTGGTCTATGAGGATGGGGGAATCTGGCAAAATCTTTTCTCTGAAACAGCAAATACAACCTCAGAAGTCATTGTTTAGGTCACTTGCAGCTGGACAGAGGCTCCCAAGGAAACTGAGGTAGAGCAATCTTCAGGTGCTGGTCCTCTGTGGAGTTAAGGTACCACAGGACCAATGAGACAACACTCAGAAGGTGAAGAAGGTAAAGAAAGTGAGAATCAGCAGGGTAAGCACGAGTAGTGTCAGAACTTCTGTGCTGGGTCCCAGCAACCAGAGAGCCGAGGAGGTTCTTGTTGCTCTGGTCCAGGAGGCATGTAGTCATTTGCTTGCCCAAGAATGACTTAGGGGCCTTGAATGTGTCCTACCCCAGACCATAGGGGTACTCATTTCATTAGCAGTGGCAGCAGCCCCAATTCATTCAGTCGCTCCTTGGCCAGTGCCTCCCAGCCCCTGTTGGCCTGTGGGCTACGAGGTGAGGGGTGCAGGAGCCCCTCCACCTGGACCTCGGGCATCAGGCCAGCAAGAGCCCGCCGTGCACGCTGCTCTGCCACCCGCCCCACTCCCACCACCAGCCGTACCCCCAGCAACTGCACCTGCCGGCGGAGGGCTGAATCACAGACCCCAAGAAGCTGTTCTCGCTGTTTGGCAGGCAGCTCAGCAGGGGTGAGGTTGCGCCCACTGGGAGCCAGGAAGAGCAGAGGACACAGGTTGTGGACAAAACAGTGGCGGAAGAAGACCTCAGGCTGTCCACAGAGATTCCGGAAAAAGCCCCAGAATCGGGCACCGCTCACCTCTGACTGAGGGCACTCCAGTCCCAGCACTGGTCGCTTAGGGTGCTCTTGAGATGGGGTCAGCACAGGCCCCCCAATGCCCAACCAGTCCCGGACTATATTCACTTCCCCAAAGGGCACCTGTGGGGATGGAGAGGGACATGAGGGCTTCAAACTGGAGGCATGATACGTGGGCTCTCGACTAGCTGACCCACTTCTACCCTGTGTGAGGATCTAGCCTGGACGTCCTTCTTGCACCTCTATCCAAAGGCCTGAGACAAGGATTCCCAGACCTGTGGCTTGATTCTATCCATCTTTCTCCAATTTTTAACTGTGACTGTGGTCCAGAAGAATTTCTTTACCTCTAACCCCACTAGACTTTGGGACCACATACAGGAAGGACATGGGGATATCTGCCCCGACCAAATGGGTATGTGGGGTATTACTGGAGACAGGCAGATGGTCCGGAACAGAAAGGAAGCCAGGATTACAGGAGGCATGAGGACAAGGGCTGACCACTGCTCTCTGGATGCCCTCAGCCCCAAGCCTCAGGTTGTCATTTTCATCCATCATCATTGATCACCTTTCATCCCCCCAGTTGGGGTCAATAAAAGCGATTGAGCCTCCTACCCTGAAGCCTCTTCCCCTCCCCCACCTGCCAAGCCTCCCCACTGAGGGGCAGTCATTCATCCTGAGGTCTGAAAGGAAAGCAGGCAGGCCCTGCAGCCTGGCTGTTCTGGACCTCTCCTCAGCTAAAAAACAGAACCCCAGTTGCCTGAATGCCCCACACCACTTCCATGCCCATCCTGTCAACCAGTCTCCCAAGGAAGCAGTAGTCCTGATCCCTCTCCTGACCCAAACACTCTAGGGAGAGGGGAGATCCGGCAAGGTAAGGTAAAGATGGGGCTGGCGGAAGGAAGGCTCTCAAGGGCAATTAGTGGACAGCTCACAGGAGAAACGGAATTACCATTAATGTGCTTGGTTAACTATGGGCAGTGAGGCCAGGAGTGTCTGAGACCACAGGAGCCAGTGTGGGCATTGGGAGGGGAGTGGGGGGCCCACTCACATGTCCACAGCCATGTACGTGCACCTCCTCCACAGCACACGCAGCCCAGTATCTACCTTGGAGCCTCCCACCCCACCCACCAGGGGAAGGCAAGCCCTTTACCCCAGTCTGGGCCATGCCAAAGGGTCCTGGGTTCATGCCCAGGAACAGTACTTCCTTGGGGCCCTGGCAGTAACGGGTCACGTAGTTGCGATGTGGCTCCCATGCATACTCCACAGGATTGTAAATGATGCCCACAGGCTCTGAAAACTGCAGTTGGCTCAGCTCAGCATTAAGCCGAAGCTCCTCCCCCAGGAAGCCCCCAGCCAAGCTTTGAAGGCAGGGCTGGGACTCCATCTGGGCACCTGAAGGCTCATGGAGGGGTCCCAGTGGGAAAGCCTGGGGAGCAGCCATGTCACCGGCACCTGGAAAAGAGATGGACAGAGGCCCCATCAGCCCTCAGTCCTACAGTGGGAGGGGATCCAGGCTGGCCAGGGCCCCTACTACCATTTCTTGGCAGAAAAGATTGTGTCAGCCATCCCCTAACCTTCAGGCAGGACTGAGCTCACTTCAGTTCTCGGTAATGAAGGGCCCTTCCTCTGACAGCTTCAAGTGTCCTTCTTCTTCATATTATCACCTGGTGAGAATAACCCATTAACACTAATCATCCTCCAGCCAAACCTCGGTTCCATCAGGCATAAGCCCTAAGTCACTAGGTTCTTGGGCCATGCCGAGCACATGGTAGGCTTTCAATAAATATTCACTGCTGGCAGACTTTCATCACCTTTAATATCATTCTTAATAAGACAAGCCCAGCCAGGATAGGCTGCGTCCTGGAAGCCAATATCCTGAAGAGTATGATGCAGGTGCACAGCCACAGCCCAGAGACTAATTGCAGAGGGCTAATTACAATAGCTTCCAGGTGGCACGCAACTGCTCTGTGCCAGATACACTTTATTGAGCCTTGTAACAACCCCATGAGGTGGTAATTATTGCTCCCATGTTATAGGTGAGAAGACTGAGGCTTAGCAAAACCAAGCAACAAAGTAACAAAGCTGGGATCTGAACCCAAACTGACTCAAGGCTGTGCCCTTAACCACCCACACCATCTTGCCTTAGATGGATGGATCAGCCACCCTGCTAATTTAACCACCACCCAATCCCAGCCCAGCTTCTTGCCCACATTCAAGAACCCTCTGTGGTGAGTAGGATGACTACCAAGACTCGGAATAGACTCTTACAAGCTACATAACCAAGGCCAGAGCCTGGGATTTCCTGATCCAAATACTAGGAATAATAATGTAGGGAAAATGGAAGTTCCTATGGCCAGGAACCTCACCTAACCCTAAACTACTTGATGTAGTTGGCCAATGCTTACACACTTGTTGGCAATGAGCCATTACTGGCCATGTTACTATTACAAAGAGCTCCTCCGCCCAGTGCTCTGCCCAGAGGCAAAGACAGAAACGGACTGCAGACTTGCCAGAAGCAGACATGATTCCAGCATTCAACATGCCAACCTGCCAATGTGAGAATAATAAAGCTTGGTATAAACCCTTTTACCCTCAGTGTTCCATTGTCTTTATTCGGTCTCACCTAATCCAGAGTGAACTTCCCCACAGGCAATCCTCCTCAGATGAGACAAATAATATCCACTTAATAATATTGGTAAGGGACAGAATGAGATGTTATGTGTAACTAGTTGGGGAGAAAGGGGGCAGGCAGAGACAGCAATCAAGCAAGCTTTGTAACCTGCAAAGGCTATTCCTTTCAAACTTTCTTCTCACCACTCCCATGCAAACCCAGTGTTCCAGCCTGACCATCCCACTCAACACTTTCAAAATGCCTTCCTTACCCCACCTCCCAAAACTGCACATGCCACTTCTACAAACCCAACCAAATACACTCCTTAAGTCAACCAGGACTATGACTTCCCCATTCCACACATCCAACTCATACCATCCCTCAAGATGCAGCTCACTAGCCCTCTGGTAAAGCCTTCCCTCCTCAGGACACTGCAGCATTTACCACAGCTTCCCAACCACAATCAACACAAGAGCAGGTTTGGCATGAGGCCTGGGAGTCTGTATTTTAAACAAGCTTCCTCGGGTGATTTTGATGATTGGTGAAGGCTGAGAACCACTGCGTGTCACAATGGTTAGTGGCTTCTTTGTGAATTCACAGATTGTCTCCCCAACTATACTTGAGCCAAAGGCCAGGTCTTGTTCAATTTCCTTCACTATCTCCAAGGTCCTAGTTTTTACTAGGTAGTCAACAAACAACTGCTCAGCTCTGTCCATCCCATCTTTTTTTATTCTATTTAGAACTACCTTCTAGGAAGGAGCATTTCCTGGTGGACTCTGCTCTATTCCCTACATCATGAGTTCACTCAAGGCTCAGCTGCCCACTTTGCTCTCTGCTTACAGCTCAGGGCTTGCCAGACTCTAGGTGTGTTTCCATCACATCTGAACCTCCCACAGGGCATGGACCATGGTTCATCTTCCTCTCAACCCTTTGCCCAGGTCAAGAGTAACCCCTTACCACAGATGGAGCCTCAGAGCTGACACAACAACTTGACCCACCAACCTGTTCTCTGACCCTAGCCTAGAAGTGAGAGAGAAAAAAAATCAGGGCCAAACTTAAGAAATCCTTCCCCAGACTCATCTCAGAAGTCTTAACTGACCCATCCAGGTGGCCACCCAGGGCCAAAAGGGCTCAAACAAAAGCTGAATAGGAGACATGTGGGGAACTCAAACGTCCCAGGAGCTCTTGCTTTGTTTCTCTCATGTAGCCCTAGTGTTAGCGGGTCAGACAGCTCTGGGATCTCACTCAACTCTTAAGCTGAACCTGTCTTTGATCTTTAGAGACCTCTGCTGGAGACCGCAAGGTGGGGATACACCAAAGAGTAAGAAGGCCTTAGTTTCAGTGTTTCAAAGCCACATCTGATAGCAAGAACCACAGGTGGGTGTCCAATAACTCAAATTCTAGTCCTGGTTTCATCTCTAAGATTCTCTTAAGCAAGTCACTTAACTCTCTTCACTGTGAAATGAAAATCACATATTCCACCCAACCTACCGCCCTCTTTTTTTTTTTCTTTCAACATTTACGAGTCGCTTACCTGATAGGTATAGTAGCTATCTCTTGGTAGGGATGAAATCGGGTAAAATGTAAGCTCAGGTCATAAACTACTTTGAGAAGACAACTGTAATACACTGATTTGAGCTTTAATGTCCCGAACAAAACACTATGAGAGCCCTAAGGAGGAACTCGGAAGTCTTGCCTAAATTCACGAAGAGCCAGAGACTCAAGAAATGTGGATAACTTTATAGATGATAGTGTCATATTACATTAAGTGCAAAAGAAGCGGAGGGTGATCCAGCGATAGGCCTAACCTAGGTTCACCGACACTAAAAGCAAGTGAATACGGGATCGAAGACACTAAACACTCCCCTGTCCCTTGGGGACACTCCAGGACTCTACGGAGACAATCGGCAAATCCTTAAACCAATAACAACAACTGAGTATGGTATCAGAAACACTTTTTCCCTCCTTCTGGTTCGGAGGGGGCCGATTAAGCCTCCATACGAAAACAACGCGTCCGCCCGCGGGTTACGCCCAACGGGAAAGCCTGGTCCCCGCAGGCCTGCCGGACGCTTCTTTGCGCTCGGCTCTCCCTAAGTCGGGTCGAGACCCAGGCTGAGCGAGGGGTCCCGAAATACAGACATCCCCACTCCCCGCCTGTCGCCGCCTAGCAGCCCTGAGAGTCCGCAGCCTACCCCTGACGCCCCAAATTCCCGGCCTCCTACTCCCTCACCTGGTCCAGCTCCCCACACGGCTTCCGGTTCCTTTCCCCCCGCCCCCGGCGCGGAGGACTGTGGGAGTCGTAGTCGGCTTTGTGGAGCAAAGGAGATTGGCGTATAGCTGGTTCCACTTCCGCCGGAAATACTCAAATACCCGGAAGGTATGCAAAGTCAGCCTTAAGTGATGCTGGGGGTTGTAGTTTATTCTTTACATCAGCGCTAAATCGAGAAGAATTGAGGAGAGGCCACGTCCTTTAAGTACCTCGGACATCCAGGGTTCAAGACCTCAAGGGCATCACCTTTCCAAAAGTTCATCCACAATACTTTTCCCAAAGGGATTTCAAATCGGCCCCAATATCTCAATTTACCTGAGGATATTAACAATGACTAAAGACCATTTCTAGCCCTCCTGCAGCTGCAGGTATAAAAGACCTCCCTTTTGCAGCCTTCCAAGGGCTGTATATGGAACAGCCACGGAGCCATTTCTTGCATCTCCTAACAATTCTTGTAATGGCTTTGAGACTCTCCAGCCACCCTTACTACCATTTGCCTTATCTCCCTCTTCTGCCCTGCTGTCTACTCAGGCCTATAACCTCCCATCCTTCCCAAACCTCTTCTTCAAATACTCTATCCAATACATCTTCCTTTATCACTCCCAATCCCATGGCTGCACCTACTAGTCCATTACCTCCCAAACACCCCAATCCAGTACCAATATCCAAAACTTTTCCTCTGTCTGGGTCTGTTTCTGTGTCCTGACTATAAGATTTTCATTAGACAGGAAACGTCCTACAGCTAGTTATCTTCTGGATTCCTCCCACCACCATCCCTGTGCACCTCAGCACAGCCATGACTTAGATCTGGAAGAAATAAGGCCTCCCTTCAGGTGCTAAGGAAGGAGACCAGTGAGCCTCAGAACAGGAAGGATGCTACCCCCTTCCCCATTCTCCCCTGCTCTCTTACCAACAGACAGAAAATTAATGGGTGCAGAAGGACCTTCAGGGAACTGTGAGCAGTGACTCTCTAACACCAAAGATGAAAAACCAGCCCCACACTTGCAAGAATTTGGAAACTAAATTAATCATCCACATCATAAAGTCCATTATTTCCTGAGGTTTCATTTGTGCCAGATTCTCTCCCTGTGTCTTTGCCTCTCTCTGCTTATGTAAATACATTTCTATCCCGAATCTCTTGTATAGCTTTCTCTCTATATGTGTGTTTCTGTCTCCCTCTGTATACATCTATTCCCCTCTCTTTACTTCTTTCTCTTGAATGACTGAAATAAGAGTATTCTGAGCTTCTAGAACTGGCTATCTCCAAGACCTATGCATTTCTGTGCCTCTGAACAAAAATTAGCCAGGTTGGGGAGAACCATGCTGTGGTGTCATCTCATTGCTTAGGAATTCTGGGAGCATCACCATCCCTTGGACAACCTTTCTGCCCACTTTACCCTTCTGCAACTTGCTTGCCAGCACTTTGAGTTTGTCTCCACACTCCAAGTCCACTTCTGGCTTGAAATTAATGAGTGAAATGAGTGACAGGCAAGCAGAGATCCTTCATGACCCCTACCCGCAATTTCAACTTCCTGGAAAAGTAGGATAACTGTTTCTGTCCCTTAAACCTGTTCACCCCAGTGGACAAGCCCAGAGAGAGTGAGTCACAACACAGGAAGAAACTGAGTCTTGAGCAACCCACGGTGAGTCCCTAGAGCTGACCCCAGGGGAGTATGGGGGACTTCTCTTTCTCTGTCCATGCTATTCCTCCCTACCTGGTGAGTTCCTCTCAGGGAAGATGAAAGTGAAGAGCTCTCCTGAAGTGGAGTGCTTAAAAACGGAGGCCTGTAGATTTTCAATACATAGATTCTGAGAGCTGAAACTTGGGCTGGGGTGGGACCCTGCCAACCTGCCTTGTCCATGTCTTAGCCTCTTGGTGCTCTAGGAGGTCTCCAAGGGGCTGGCTCAATGCGATTTATGGATAGAGCTTGATGGGCAGGAGCAGAGGCAGACGCAGGCTGTGGCCTGGACAAAGCCTAGACACTTGAGTCACTCCCTAGGAAACAGCCAGGCCTGGGGCAGAGCTTCTGTCGCCAACCAGCCTAGGCATTAAGGGGTTAACCTGATGGCTAGTTTTCCTTTGGTGTCGAGCGCTGCCAGGACTGTGTTGGGCCATGAGCGCCATCTATCGGCCTCTAGCTTTAACTGTCAGCCACTTCGGTTTCTAAGCCAGTCTTTCAGCCCTTCCCCTGCCTCCCTGCTCCCAGCGTAGGGAAGGGGAGCTGTCTAGCTGCAGGGCTCCAAAGGCAAGTAAATAGATACCGGAGATTGAAGACTGATAAGGACCCTGTTTCACCTTTCCCTACGTATCAGGTGTCACTCTTGTTAGCTCCAGCCTCCTCTGCTGGAGGGAGCCCCAAAGGGCTTCTGGTGGTTGACTTCCAGTGTAGCCATATCTCGCAGCTCCACTGCACTGGACAGTTGTCCTCTCTCAGTCAGCCCAGTAAACATTAGAAGAGCATTGGAGAGTCAAGGCCACATAGCAGAGGCCTTTAGAGTCTATGTACTCAGACTGCCTGGATATGAATCCCAGCTTTGCCACTTACTAGTGATGACCTTGAGCAAATTACTTAACTTCTCCATGCCTTGGTTAGCTCAGTTGTAAAATGGGAATTATTGTAATCTGTCTTCTTTTGTGATAATTAAATGACTTGATTACATAAGGTGCTCAGTACCATGCCCAGCACAGAGTGGTGCTCCATAAAGGTTCGTTGTTGTTATGTCCATGTGCCAGAGTCTCAGGCAGACATTAGTCTCAGGACCCAAAATACAGGCCATAGAGCCATATCAGACACAAGCATGGAGGACAAGACCAGAGAACACATCCTGGAGATTTCCACAAAGACAGTGACCCATATGCGCTGGGTCTGGGGCCTGGAAGTTCAGAATTGCAAGCAAAGTACTTTTCAGGTCTCCGAGATCAGCAGGAGATGGGATGAGGGGGTCAGAGAACAAAACAGCTTGAGGTAAAGCTGTAGAAAGGAAAGGCACTAAAGAAAAGGTACTAACAGGCCCTTAAAAGGACCCCAGTTTAGGGGAGTGGAGAGGATTCCCTATGTATGCAGTGAGCAAGGGCCACTGCATCCCAAAGACATGTCCTCCTTGGTACAGGCATAAAATCTCAAGATATATGGTATCACAGCCCCATCCCAGCTCTGTGGGGTTTGCCTCACCGTGCCTTTCCCCAGCTTGGTGGGGAGGAGCTCAAATATGGAGAAAGCTGCCCAAAGGTCCTACACATCCCACTCCTGGCTCCCTCCTAGAACTAGAGAACCAAGGGAGCTAGGCTGCAAATTCATCCATCAGTTTCCTTACAGATTTGGCCATTTCCCTGTCTCTGTGTCTTCTGTAACTCTGCCTTCATTTACGTTACTGGGAAATGGGTACATAGGATTCTTTTCCCAGGGGTGAGAGTGAGAGGCAGAATGACAACCTTTCAGTTTTCAGTAAACTGAAATGCAGAGCCAGTGGGGCCCCTGGTTCAGCCTCCCCACCCCTTCCCACCTCCCTGTCTCAGCCTCAAGATAGCACCGACCAGCTTTAGGGGCTGATGGCCACTTAACTGGAGGCAGGTGACAGCTTCCAGGTCTCTCCAACTCAGGTGTTCTCCCTCTCCTGGGGCCTGGACACCTGGGTCCCCAGGAGAGGAGCAGGGACAGGCTGGATGGGCTGATTTGCATCGCTTACTTGGGAAGCAATTATCGGAGGAGCTGTCAGCTCAGCGCAGCTCTCTCCTCGCTAATCGGATTTCACCAGAGCCCGGGGCTTGGGGGCCTGAGTAATTTGGCTTGATGCCGTGGTGGGAGATGTCAGGGCCAGGAGGCCGGACAATCTGTCTGAGTGGTGCTAGAGTTGTCCAGAGCAATTATCCTGAGGGGACCACACAGACATCAGATGGACAGCCAGCCAAGGGGACTGGACTGGCCCCCGAGTCCTGCATCAGGAGGAGGGAAGCTGGGCTTTGCGCAGAATGGGAAGGGCCTCTCCCACAGGTTGAACTGCATTAAGCAACTTAGAACAGGAGTCAAGATGAGTCTGGGAGGAGGGACAAGTGACAAGTGGGAAAGGAACTCAGAAAGCCCAGCTCCCAGCCTACGGGCACCCAGGCCCTGCCCTGCCCTGCCCTACCCTGAGTTCCCAGCAAACCAGCAGCTGAGCAGGACTTGCCTGAGGATGAGTCTTCCAAGCTCTCCTCCCTCCTCTGCAGTGCTCCCAGACCGTACTGTCCCTGCCCTTGATCTGGCTCTGTCCCTTTCCTTCTCTTGTCCTTGCAGCCCTTTTGAACTGTCCCCTCCTTCCCACAATTCCATCTCTCCCCAAGTTTTGCGGCAACTATTGACCCTCTCCCTGCCTCTGTCCTCCATTCCACACCTTTCGGCTAGTGGTAGGGATGGTAACAACAATTAGCAACCTCCCTGAGTGTTCCTCCTACACCAGTACTTTATGGTGGATTCTCCCATCTAATCCTCACAGTAACACCAGGAGGGACACACTCCGTACCTCTACTTGCTGAGGAGGACGCTGCTGCTGACTGAACTTCCTAAAGGAAGGATGACATCTGATCTTTGCATCCTGAGCCATCAGAGCAACCCTGTCATTTCTTTGGTATACCACAGACGTGTATTGACTGAATCAGTGATCACTTGAACGATTTACCCTATTCTCCATTCCCAGCTGGACTCCAGGCTTGGCCCCGCAGCCCTCTCATATCCTGACGCCCCTGTCATTTCAGCTTGATCTCCCTCACACCTCTCCACACACTCTATGAACCAGCACATTGGAAAGCTGTCCTTACTCATCCTCTCTTGCCGTCGCACAACGGCCCATCTTGTCCCCTATGCCTGGAACATTCCTCCCCGCTTCCTCCTCTGCCACTGAATACACTGTACTCACTCCCCAAAGCCAGCTCCCCTTGGAAGCATTCCGTGATCCTACCTGTGTTTGTACCTCCCTGGTGACCCTTGTCACCAACTCTTACATGTCTCACTTATTGCTAAAATGCCTTATGGCCCCTGCTAGGCTGTGTTTTGAGAAGTCAACACTCAAGTCTCTCTCCTGAGCACAGGCTTATTGCCTTGTGTCTTTTAGGTGCTCAGTAAATACCTGTTGAAAACCTGAATATCTGCTCTCTATTTTTGTTGCTTTCATTCAGACATGCTCTTGTAGTGGGTTGAAAGGAATACTCAGCTTCCAAGGAAGCTTGGAGTTGGGGGTCTGTCACTTACCAGTGGTGTGACCTTGGGAGATCATTACCTCTCTGAGCCCTGGGCTGATCATTTCATTCTTCACCTGGAAAAGAGGATGACAATGCAGGACATGCGATGCAGCCTCATGTTATCTGCCCAGGGTCTGTCTCTGAAGCAGTGGAGATCTGTCTGTCTCTCCATTTTTCTGCCTTGCTGCTGAGTCCATGCCTCTCTGGTCCCCATCAGTTGAGACACATAGCCCAGGAGTCCCACCACTCAGCCTCCTCACTGTCACACAGACCACTCACTGTCAATTTTCCTGATGCTACCATTCCCAGGGGTGGCTTGCCCTTTCCCTGGGAGCCCAGAGGACCAACTCCACCTTGATCCCTCACCCCTTTAAGTGACACCTTGAGTTCTCCCTCTGAAAATATTAATAATAAAGAAACAGGACTCTGGGCATGCAACTGGATGCAAATTGGCCCCAAATTCTCAGTCCAAGAAAGAGAATGCCTGAGCTGTGGACCCAAAGAAATCCTGTGCTCGTTTGCATGTCATTTGCATTAGATTTACATGTGATCAATTTCATGTTCAAATGCACAATCCTCCCTCCCCAGTTTTTCTCCCCCAGGGTCCACTCAGCGGCTGCCCCATCAGCTCCTACCCCTTCCACGACCTTCCTCATCCTTTTCCTTCTTCCTGCCAGGGTCCCCAGCCCCCAACTCCCTCCCCTACTGGCAAGGACCCACCTGCCCAACACCCAGAATAGATTCCTGGGGTCTTACCCCTTAGCTCAGGAGGGGCATCCCTGCCTGTCCCCTCTCGCCCTAAGACGGGCGGGAGCAGCAGACAGCAAGCGCGCCTCTCAGCAAATCCCAGCCCCATTCAGCCTGGTGATTAATGGCGCTGCCCTCCCCATGAACCTGCCTTTAATACTGAGGAAGTTATGAAACCGCTATACATCAGCAGCTCCGGCCCCCGCTGCCCCCACCCGCCTCCTTCTCTCCTCCACCCCCAACCCTCGGGCTCCCTCTTCAAAATCTCATTTGGGTTCCTGCCGCATGGGCCCACCCCTCCTCTGGCCTTTGCTGGATGGAGGGGGTGTCTGCCCCAGTTACCATCCCCAGTATGGACCCACATCTCATTTTCGCTTTCTCATTTCCCCCCTGCTCCGCCCTTCTCTCCCTCCCCACCCCCCACCACCACGGCTGCATCTCTGGACCCATTTAGAATTGCTGACATTTTATCTGCATTACATACATCACTCCGTCCCCAGCAGCCATCTCTCATGGATTGGCGGGGAGGGGGTGGTCCTCAGCTTGGGAAGATGGTGGGAAACAGGGTGGAGGTGGGGAAATAGATAGTACTTCCTCCACACCCCTTCCCCCTCAGGCCCTCTCCCCAGCCACCTGGGAGGTTATGCAGATGGAGACCTAGGAAGGGTGATGGCTGGGGTTAATACCCTAGCCTCCTCTTGTAATTCCCAGCTACCTCAAAACATCAAAAGATCTTTTCTTAGCCTACATGGACCAGGGAAGGTCAAGTTGCCCATCTGCCCCTTCCATGGGACCCCTCTGCAGGAGAGTATGAAAGTGGGTGTTTAATCTCTTTTAGCTGACCTGATCTAATATATCCCACACTGCCCTTTTGGGAAGTTCCTCTGAATATCTACCCACTGTGTCTCATGCTGCAGTCATTATTTCCTTCTTGCTTTGTCCTTAGAAGATTGAAGAGCAGTATTGCCTCTGAAATTAATTAAACCCTTTGTTCCAAAGCATGAGCAATCATAAGTACAGTCACCCACGCGTCTAAGTCTTATTAACATGTTAGGAGGTAGAGGGTGGGGCCGTCCTAGAAAGGAGGAAATTGAGACCAAAATCAGGAAGGGGAAAGGCATGAACCTGTCCAAGACCAGGAATCCAGGACCCAGGGGTCCCACGATCCCTGCAAGCAGCTTTCTCTCCCTAGAGAGGTGGACCAGGCAGAGTGCAGCAATAGACAGAGAGGTCTGGGCCAACAGGCAGACAGCAGAGGGGGAAGGGGGAGCTGGGAGAAAGACAGGCAAACAAAGAAACAAACAAACAAAGAGCTAGACAGACAAAGGGACCATCAGCCAGGGACAGGCAGACAGGCGAGAGGAAGCCAGCAGACGCGCGCTGGTATGGCATGTCCTAGCCCGGACATATGAGCAGGGCTCTCTCCGTCTGTCTCTGTCAGTCAGGGTCTCTGCTGGAATGTGTCTCTCAGGGTCTCTGGGGCTTTTTGCTCACTGAGTCTACACTATCCATTTTCCTGGGAATTTTTGTTTCCCCAGGCCTCCCCAACATCCTATCCCTTACCCTTCAGGTTCCCTGCCTGCAGCCCCATCCCAGTCACTCCTTCTGTCTGAGGCCATCTTTCTGACCTGCCCTTCATGCTTTCAGGGAAATTCAAAGACTTTCTGTGGATTTTGGCGGGCTCCCCCGGGAACCAGGCCAGTCCTCCTGGGATGAACAGGTGGGGCAGGGACTCCAGCTCTGGAACAGCTCCCCATTCCGCAGAAGGGAAAGAGCAGCATAGGACTGTGTCCCCATGCCTGACCAGGCAGAGCCAGTGAGGCAGGAGGAGCCCCAGAAGGAAGCTGCAAGGACCCCCTGTTCCTCTCCACCCTCCTGTTGGCTCAACCTCAGACAAAACAGACCTCCGGCAATGGGTGAGGGAGGAGGCTGATTTACACGCTGTTTGCATCTCACTTTCATGGCCCTGATTCCCATACATCTCCCAGACCCTGTCCTCCAATTCTGGCCTCTCTCCTGCTCTGTCTGGGCTCAAGAGGGTTGAGGGCAAAGACAGCAGAGCTAGGAGAGAGGGTGGGATTCACACACAGGTGCCTGTGAGTCTCCTTCACCCTGTGCACCAGCCACGCACTGTCCTCCAGACATGACTTTCACTGCTGTGCCTCTTAACTTTGTCCCCACGTTTCCCCCAGCCTTCCTCATTCTTCTGTTTAGCTCAACATTACCTGTCCTTTAGGGCCAGAAGCAAGCCCTCCTCTTCCACAAAGACGTGCCTGGTCACACAGTCCAGATAGTGGACAGCATCTCAAGAAACCACAGCATTTGTCTTACCTGTCTTCAGGTAGCTGATGCATCACTATCCCCATCTTAGAGATGAGACAATTGAGGCCCAGGATCAGTTAGGTAAGTTTCCCAGGGAAGGACAGTCAACAAAGAGGGAGTAAATGAGAGCCCAGGAGACTCTTCTCAATGTCCCCTGTCCTACCCTGTCCTTGTCATTTGGCTGGGAGCAACACCCCATTCTGGACTCTTCTTGTCTGGTTGGTGAGCATTGCCTAACTCCTAGATTAGGATTTCAGTCTCCTGCAAGCTCTCTGGGCTCCAGCCACACAGAATTACTGGCAATGCTCTGAACTCTCCTTGCCCTTTCTTACATGTCTTTGTCTATGGTGGCCCTTCTGACAGGACTGCCTTTCTGTCCACCCCTTTATGAACTGGGAAAACTCAAGCTCATCCCTCAAAACCCAGTTCAATGGTCACCTCCTCTGTGAGGCCTTCCCTGATGTGCCTCTGAAGCTCCCCCACACCATATTTAAGCCTCCAGGGTAGCACTGGTCACATTGTTGCTGAGAGCCAGCCTCCTTCCCAAGCCATAAGCCCTTCAAAGGCAGGGACCACCGTGTCCTGTTCAGCAATTTTCCCAGGACACACATTGTTTATTTGGACAAGATTTCATCAATATCTTCCTTCCCCAACCCAGGCCCAAGGAACAGGGGCATCAACCTTTGCTGAGATCAAGGAAAAAGACCAAGAAGTTGGGGCAATATGCAAGAGGAGGCATCCCAGGGGATTGTGTGGGGGTGCAGGATATGTATTTCTTGTCCTTCTAAATAATCCCTTCCACCCACCTTAAAGTTGAATGGATGAAGAGAAGAAGGTGGAAGAATAGAAGCATAGAGCTGAAAGGGAGAAGGGGGAACAAAACAAGGGAGAAAAGCGGTGGGCAGGAGGAGGGGGAAGAGTCAGAGCAGAGCAATGAGACAAAAGGGAGGGAAGAAGAGAGGAGTGGGAGGGAGCCCCAGCTGTTGATCCTCAAGTACACCCAGCAGAGACCTAGGATCACTCCTGCCCCCATTTCCCTGTCTGGTAAATGGGCCCATCTCTCCTTCTCCAAGAACAAGTGAGACTGGGGCAGACATGGGGATGGAAACCCTGCTGTGCGGTGTGCTCTGCAGCCCCTCACACACACTGTCTCACAGAGCTCACCTGAGAGGTAAGAATCATTATTTCCACCCTACAGACATAGGAACCGAGGCACAGAGGTGCACCATTTGTCTCCATGAGAGGGGATCTGACCCCAAATGCATGCTCTCCCCACAATCCCAGGGCCCTCTCAGCATTGAGGACCAACAAGAGAGGCAGACATTTCACAGGCCATTTGGAAAGCTGAGGTGCAGAGGACAGAGGGGAACCAATCACATCACCTCCACACCCCACGGAACAGTGTGTCATCCTCCGGCTCTAGGAAGCCCCCCACCCTGCATTGACTTAGTCTTTGCCTAGTAGATTGATGATGTTCAATCTAAAAATCTGAAGACCTGACAGGGGCTCTGAAGACTCACTTAAGCAGATGCAGAAAATTGCTTTGGCATTTTGTCCTTCCTTCTGCCAGCAACTGTCAACCAGCGGAGGGAGTGGCTCAGGGGGTTTTCCTTTAAAAGACCCCACAAACATCCTTTCTCCATCGCTCTCTCCTCCCCAGCTCAGAGGAAGGAGCAAGGAATATGGACTCCCCTTGGAGGACTTGGGGCAGATGGCAGGGACCAAGCAACAACCATGGCTTTCTGAGGCTCTGAGATGCCTGTGGCAAGGCAGCGACATGCAGCCCTCTGCCCCAGCCCCCACGAGGGACGTACGGGCAAGCTGTGGCTCACAGAGGACTCTCCACAGCCCCGCAGAGCCAGAGCCTTGCTCCTTATGAACAGGCAACCTCCCCGTGTTCAGCCTCCCTCAGACACCAAACCCAGTGGCTCATGCCCCTCTCTACCAGGAAGTCCATCCTAATGTCTAGCTCACAACTTTCCTACTGTTGCCTATCCAGTCCTCAGATGCTATGGCACAGCAGAGTCTGAGCTCTGATGGTCAGGGCATAGGGAAAGAATAAAGACTTAACTTGAAACCTGGGGGAAGGGAGGGTGGTAATGCAACAAAAAAGAAGGGTGGTTCCCTCAGCCCCATCTCTTCCCTCTATTAGCAATAGAAATGGAGGGTAAATACCTGGAAGGACTTCCTGAGAGAGAAAGGAGGTATTTCAGAATAGGATAATAAAAGGCAAAGGCTGTGTCCCCTTCCCATGGCCTCCCAGCCTGGACACCCTTCAGCAGCAGCTGCAGGAGAATGGCCCGCACTTCCAGAAAAGCTTGATGCTGGGGCTGCTGGGATCCTCACAGCTCACGCGGAAGAGAAAAGCCTGGTCCCGGAGCCCTCTGGTGGCCACTCAGATGCAGGACAGATGGCTCTGCTTCTAGAGGCCCAGCCTCAGAGCCCAGGGGGGTGGGGGCGGGAGGGAGGCTGGAGGGGGCTGGGAGCCCCATACAGGAGAGGCAGCTCCCAGCGCCCCACACTGGGAGAGAGGCCCGGTGCACAGCCCCAAGCTCATCACACCCACTGGCTAACCCCCAGGACAGGGTGGGGCCTCTGCTGCTCTGGGGCAAGAGCTGATGTAAAATCACACCAGGACACGCAGGCCCGCACACCCCGCCATGCGCAGCCATATGGCCCCACAGATGTCACAACACATGCACAGATCTCCCCACAGAGAGAGATGGCTCCCCTCAGACACTCCGCCACCCCTTCCCTGAAAACATGAGGGGCGGCTGGAGTGCATGAAGGC